GCTATCGTGAAGGTTAGTCAGATGGTGCTTGGCATCGGATAGGACTGTGGTCTTATAAGTAGAGGAAGATCTCTCTCTCTCTCCTTCTCTCCCTCTCTCTCTATCACACGAGGAAACAAGGAGAAGGCAGCCCTCTGCAAGCTAGGAAGAGAGTCCTCACCAGAAACAACCCTGTGGAAGCCTTGGTCTTGGACTTCCCATCTTCCCCGACTGTGCGAAAATACGTTGCTGTGTAAGCCCCCTAGTGTATAGCGTTCGCTAACAGGGAGACGGTCTGAGCTGCCTGAAATGTGGCTCTGGGACAGGGGCACTGAGGCAGAGCCCGGGGGTCCCCGCAAGCCCTCGGTAATGTTTACTGAGCTACAGAGCAGTGATGGAGTCTCCGGGCAGAGGGAGAAGCCACACCCACCCTCACCTTGCAGGCAGGAAGCACCTGGCACGCTGCCCTTAAAATAAGAAACTCTACTTTCCACCCCGAACAGTGATTAACCCAGGCTCTGGAGTCAGACATGCTGAGTTTGAACCTGAACTCTGCTGCAAGCCAGCTCTGTGACCGTAGCAAATTTAACTGACCTCTCTCGTCTCATTTCCTTGCCTGTCCCATGAATCACTGCTGCCACTTCCCAGCGGTGTAGGGTAAGTGTGATAATGTGTACATGGTGCATGTAGCCCAATGCTTCGCACGCAGTAGGCACTGGGTAGCTGCGGGCTGCTGCTAGTAATAATGTCACATAAAATTACTAATTACTAATAATTTTGCTCAGATGATTTGCTTCACCTGCTTAAGCTAGAAAGAAGACCATGCTTCTCTTATTATTTGAATTGAAACACTGTAGCCCCTGTGTCTCCATTAGAGGAAAGGCCTTCTCTCTTTCCTGTGTCTCCCCTCCCACAATAGGCTACAGTTCCCAGAATGCTTATTTGTATCAGACCCCGCCCCACTGGGGGTCTATCAGGGGCCGGTGTGCCTCCTAGAGGCAGGAGCTGGTGAAGGCTCTGGCCACCGTAAAGCCACCTCTGCCCAATAAGGTGTCCTCGCTGAAAGTCTCAGCTCTGGGTCTGGTTGGGGTCGCAACCCTCCTGTCCCCTCCCTTTGGAGAACTCCTTCTTGGTAGGCCCTTCATGTCTTTTCTGTTTAGATGACCTCACTATACAATGTCATCTTCGGAGGCTTGAATAACGTTGAATCCAAAAAACCCTACCAGTCTCCATCTGGATCTGCTGGTCCCCTAGGCAGATCTGCCCATCCCCTCACCAGAAGACTTGAGTTCCACCCATAAAGGATATCGGGGAAGGTGGCCTGGGACAAGCCTCCAACAGTCCTTCCCCGTGACAATAAAGTGCCTTACTTGCTTCATGTATCTTTATGCCGATGGGACTACTCCAGCGGTCCTTTTTACAACAGGCAGGTCTGCTCCAATAACAATGAAATTTCACATTTCATTGAATGTAAGATGTCGCAGTTTGGGGCGCCTGGGTGGCTCAGTTGGTTAAGCGACTGCCTTCGGCTCAGGTCATGGTCCTGGAGTCCCGGGATCGAGTCCCACATCGGGCTCCCTGCTCGGCAGGGGGTCTGCTTCTCCCTCTGCCCTCTTCCCTCTCGTGCTCTCTGTCTCTCATTCTCTCTCTCTCAAATAAATAAATAAAATCTTAAAAAAAAAAAAAGATGTCGCAGTTTGTAAAAGAAAAATCATTAGTCAATGCATCACCAAGAAAGAAAAACGCTTCCAATCACTTATGACACACCATCCTCTGAAAGACACATTGTGATTTCAGAGACGTTAAAAATGTGCAATCTCACGCATCTCAGAATCAGTCACATTGTTAAAATATTAGCTAATATTCCTTGAGGATTTACCATGCACTTGGCGCTTGTCCTAAGAGTTTTAAATGAATTGATTTATTTACTACTCAAAATGGCCTTATGAAGGAGAGGCTATTTTAATAATCCCACTCTCCAGATGAGAAAAGTGAGGCACATGCTGGTTACATAGCTTTGATGGCACACAGTTAGGGAGGAGCTGGATTCAAGCTTAGGCAGTCGAATGTCCCTCTTACCAGACATGAAACAATAGAAACTTTAACATAGGAGCTTCATGTCTCTGTCTTTGTCTCTGCCTCTCTCTTCCATACCCACACCCATGGGATATGAAAGTCCTTACTCTACTGGTTCCTTCAAATGCAATTAGAATTCCCACTTACATAGAAGATTGAGGAATTGGGGTTGGGATGATCCGGTAACCCTCTTCAGAAGCGGGTTTTGGTGCTCAAGCCCCACTGGGGAGGAGAGGCATTTTTTTTTTAAAGATTTTATTTATTTATTTGAGAGAGAGAGAGAGAGGGAGCATGAGAGGGGGTAGGGTCAGAGGGAGAAGTGGACTTCCCACTGAGCAGGGAGCCCAATGCTGGACCCGATCCAGGGCCCCGGGATCATGACGTGAGCCAAAGGCAGACGCTTAACCGACTGAGCCACCCAGGCGTCCCCAGGAGATCTTATCTAAAATAGAAATCTGGTTGAGCTCTTCTTCCTGGCTCTTTCCAATGGCCGTTGCTGAGCCTGGGATCCACTTATCCTTCACGAGCTGGCTTTCTCACGACGATACTAGTAACACGGCCTGCCAGACCCTGTTGGAATGGCCTGAGCTGCTAGCAACAGAAAACCCAATTAAAAAACAACTTCGCCAAACAGAGCTTATTTTTAATTTTTTTCATTCTCTGCCCGCTGAGGGTCTAGAGGACAGCTCTGGTAGTGGCTCATGATGATGTCAACCACTCAGCTCTTCTCTTAGTCTTGCCATCTTTGCCGGTTGCTATGTCTCCACTGCCGCCGGGCACTTTAGTCCCCCTCCGGTTAGAAGGGGGAGGGGCTCTGTCTTTTTATTTGGGAAAGGAAGCCCTTCCCAGGAGAGTTCTCGCAGCGACGAAGCCAGAATTGGGTCGCATGTCTGTGCACTCGGGCCCATTTCTGGCCAAGGGTAATGAGCTGACCGGGGCTGGAACGCACCTGTAGTGATGTGTCCGCTGGGACCGGGGAAGGTCTCCCCCTCCCCAGGATCAAGGGAACCCTGAGTTCAGCGGCCTGAACACGAACAAAAGCGGGAAGGATGGATGGCTGTCCGGGGAAGGAGCAGGGAGTGTCCGCTACACGTCTCCTCACCCCTTCCTCTCCTCCCCTAACCTTCTCTGCCTCGCGCACCCCCACTGTTCTCCACATGCTTGGCCAGGGAAAAGAAGGTGGCCAAGCCGCATTCCCATCAGCCGGGTAGCCCCGCCCCCCGGAATGTGAGTCCTGGGAAGGGAGGGGCCCCCTCTGCTCTGCTCCCCACCTCATCCCCAGAGCTTAGCACGTGCCGGACGCGTCGTAGGCACCCAGTAAATACCGCAGTGAATGGATGAACCGAGCCTGGCCCCGAGCCCATGGGCCTTGGCCGCTCTCTCAGGAATCAACACGGGAAGATCAGGCCTCCTGCCGCCACTGGCCCGTGTGTGCACACGCGCGCGTGAGCGTGCGAGAGTGTGCGTGCATGCACACTTACAGCTCCTCCCTGCCTCAGATTGAATTACTTAGGAACAGGCCTGCGCCAACCTGGCAGAGGCTGTGTTTAACACAACGGTTCCCACAATTTCCCAAATTCTTTTGATTTGGCAAAATCCAAAAATAAAACAAAGTCTCCCCCCCGCCCGCCCGCCGCGTCTTCTGCTCAGTGTGTCTCCGCAGCCCCGTGCCCTGCTCGAGCAATGGGTTCCGCATGTTTGGGATGTGTCTCCAGAGCCTGCTCATCTGCCTTTCCTCCCTGCACATGCTTCTGCCCTAGACATGGCCTTCCTCCTGGCCTCTCTGGAGCTCGGCCTGCAGGTCCGGGCCTCAGCACTCCCGGGGCGCTCAGGGCCTCTGTTCTGCATGGGCGCGCTCCCATCCTGCTTTCTGGGTTTCCTCCTCCCGGACATCTGTTGATGTAAATCTTTGACAAAGGAGTTGAGAGCATTTTCCCTCTTCAAGAATCCGATTGAGCCTAAGATGGATGCTACTAAAATGTCTTCAGCCTCTGGACTCTTAGTAAGCAGTGTGTGGTTGGCTCACTTCATGTAATTGGATTCTTAGACAGCAGGATGTGCAAGCTTTTATCACTATTTTCTCATATGTGTCTAAGATTTCATGCAAATGAATTTGTGAGCTCCCTGTCTATCAAATTAGGGGTTTAGATTAGATTCTTTCTGAGGCTTCTTCTAACGTTGACTAGATAGAATAGCAAGTGTATTATTTTTAAACTGGGGCTCAGAGGGGTTAAGGGAGAGGCTCAAGGTCACACAGCAAGTCAGTAACAGAACCAAAGCCTGAACTGAATCTCAATCTGGTGGGTGTCCCATGACACCATCCTGTCTTTCATGCTAGTTTCTCCATGAATGCCCAGTGGATCTAGGCACAGAACTCTCTCTCTCCAGGAAGTTTCCACCCATCTCCCAGCCCCTAAAATGTTAGCCAGGCAGGGTATGGTCTCCAGCCAATGTTGCGGTGACAGATGTCATGTGGATGGGTCTTGATGAAAAACAGCATCTGGAACTTGGAGCCTGGTGTAGGCAATGGCCTGGAACTCCCTCTGCACCCCCACCTTCCCAGCCCATGCCTCCTCTGTGTTCATTAAAGCAATCCCTTTCTCAATGCCTGGTGTTTTCTAAGGTGTGAGCAAACACCAGGTACAGTACTCTACTGCTAAGGAAGGAAAGAGCCAAAGGCTAGGTATTGAGAGAAGAGGGTTCAAGGCCTGGCATGGCCACTTGCTAGATGTGGGATTTCCTCACATCTCTTAATCTTTCGAGGTCTCAACCTTCTCTTCTGTAAATTGGGTGTCGGGGGGTATTGGACTAAATAGGCTTCAGGATCCCTTCTATCCCTAATTTGCTATAGTTTGTGTTTGTGATGGTATTTGATGTAGAAATGACACAAACATGCATGGTCTAAGGAGCAGAACATTTTATATGCTGTTTGGAAACTTGGAAACACAGAAAGAGTCTATGAGGCGCAATCTGTGTGTAAGAACTCTAGCAGCATTGCTGGAGTGGGTCCTAGGGGAACTAGCAGTTTTGGAGTACTTACAACACGTCCAGCAATGAGTGGCAGCCATGCTCTTAACCATGGGGTTCCATTGCCTCTACTTTGCCTACTGACAGTGAATGTGCATCTGCAGGTCGTCCACCACATAATTGCCCAGAGTTTTTCAAAGTGTGGTCTGAGACGAGGTGCCTCAGAAGCTACTGGTGCGCTTATTAAAACTACAGGTTTCTAGACCTCTCTCCTGACCTCCTGAAGCCGATTCTCTGGGGAGTGTAACCTGGTAATGTATAATATCAAATTCTCCAGTGAATCTTATACCCATTAAAGTTTAAGACACACTCAACTAGGGAATGAATAGGTCTTTCATTAAATGGACTTGTCCATGAGCCTAGGAGATTCAGGGTGTGGTGGAAGTGTCCAGCAGGGAGCTGAGCATTATTATTACCTCACTGAGATACCTATGAAATATAGGTACTTTGCAGTCGTTTTCTGGCTATGGGCTTTATGTGGGCTTTAACATGAAGTCAGTCCTAGTGTTTCACTTTGCCAACACTAGGTCATGCTGCAGTTCCAAGCTTCCCCCCAGGGGAAGCTTGTCCGATGTGGATCTGTGTGGTGAGAGATGAGGAGCTGTACTCATCATTTATTGTCTCACAGTTTCTGTGGGTGAGGAATTCAAGAGTGACTTAGCTGGGTGATTCTGGCCCTGGCTCTCTCATGAGATTGCAGTCAGGATATACTAGTGGGAGGCGCCGTCATCTGAGGGCTTGATTGGGGCTGGAGTATATACACTTCCGAGATGGCCCACTCACGTGTGCGTTGGCAGGGGCATCATGTGGACATCCTGACGGGTGGCCAGAGTGTCCATGACCTCTTATCCGGCTTTTCTCAGAGCAAAGGATCTAAAGGGGAATGAGCAAGCAGGTGCCTTTCATGACCTAGTATTCAAAACTGTCCACATACTTTCTTCTGTTCATTAAAATTGAGTCACTAAGTCTAGCTTACACTCAAGGGGTGGGAAATTGGCTTCCAATCCTTGAGGGGAGGAGTATTAAAGAAACTGTGGACATTTACAAAACAGCACAGTTCACCGTCTGGCCACAAACTATTTATATTCTTCCCATATGCAAAATACACTCACTCCTTCCCAAGGCCCCTAAGGTATCATGCCACCAGAGTATTCGGTTTGAATTCCAGAATTGTTTCATCTCAACCCAGAGGCAATGAAGATCCTCAGGTGTAATTCCTTAAATTCAGCTCCTTAAGTATAGTTCCTCTCAAATATAAAGATCAGTGAATACACTCACTCAACATATAATGCTGGGGCAGGCAAAGGATAACCACTATAGACACAGGGGGAAATGGAAGGTACACAGGACTCACCGGTCCATGGCAAGTCTGAAACATAGCTGGACAAATGTTGGAAGTTCTTTGACTAAAACTTGGTCTTCCTTGTGACTGGGAGTGATTCTCCCTGGCTCTTTGCCCTTCCCTCTGGGGTCTTGGTGCTTCCTCTGAGTCATCCTTGCTTTTCCATGAAAGGTAGTCTTGTTTGTAGCCGTGTAGTTTTCTTAGACTGTTTCCTGCCAGAATCTGGAGGGAGAGGTTCACGGGTCATTTTCATTTTGCAGTGTTTCTGCCCCTTTCAGTCCAGGCTGACTGTGTTTCTACAAGTATCATCTTAAAAATTTTCTGAAGCTCTGGTGAACAATATTGGGTTCACTCCATTAGACAAAGGCCACACCCAGAAATCTCTTTGAGATAAGCCTGTGGGTTTCTGCTGAAATGGCTGAGACAACATCTGTAAGCTTAGAAGCTCTATTGTTTAATGGAGAGTATCTGCGAAGCACACACTTCTACTTTTTAGGGGGGATTTTTGTCTGACTGAACAGCCCTCTGAGCTACCACCTTAGATCTTCCTGAGGGTTTTACAAAGGGCTTTATTGCCACTCCCTTGGATTCGTCTTCTGCATGTTTTCCTTGCAGTTCCCTGGAATTGATCATTGTATGGAAGACATGTCTCTCTCTCTTTTTCTTTTTTTTTTTTCTTTTTTGAAAGTGGGCTCCACGCCCAATGTGCGGTTTCAACTCATGACCCTGAGATCAGGAGTCGCATGCTCTACCGACTGAGCAACCCAGGCATCCCTGGAAGACATTTCTTAATTTTAGCATTGTTCACCATCCTGAGAGGTTGAAACATTTCAAGACTATCAAGCCCTGGCTCTTTCAGTGCTTAGTGGCTTTTTCCTTGAGCCTGTCTGTCTCCTCTCACATTTTATTATAAACAACAAGAAGAAACCAGGTGGCAACTTGACACATAGCTTAGAAATCTCCTTAGTTAGACCCAGTTCATTAGGTACGTTTTCTTTCCACATACTTGTGGGTGACAGCATTGCTAAACTTTCTGCCACTATACAACAAGGATCCCCCATTCCTTCACCTTTCAATAAGATTTTCCTGACTCTTCTGTATGCCCTCACCTGCAGCCTCCTCAAAGGTCATCATGCCTCTGCCAACAGTTTTGTCAAATCCCTTCAAGTTTTCACTAAAACTCTGCTCAGAATCCTTCCAACCTTCTGCTTCCTGCTTGCTTCTAAAGTCTCTCCTGCATTTTTAGTATGGCAACATCTCACTTCTGGTGCTAAAATCTGTAGCAGTTATCTTTTGCTGTATAAAAAATTACCCCCAAACTTCACAGTTTGAAACAACATTTTTTTCTCACTAGTTTCTAAGGGCCAGGAATGGCCTTGCCTGATGCTTCTGTCCCAGGGCCCCTAGTGAGGTCTCTCGGGGTCTCTCAGGGATGGAGCAACCACTTCTAAGATAACTCATTCACATGGATGTTGGTTGAAGGCATCCGTTCCTCACCACATGGACTTCTCTACAGATTTCCTAAAGAGTCCTCATAACATGGCAGCTGGTTTCCCCTGGACTGAGCGATTCAGAGAGAGAGCAGAGAAGAAACTGCAGTGCCTTAGAAGTGACATGCCATACTTCTGTCACATTCTATTAGTCACACAGACCAACCCTGCTACAATGTAGGAGGGGACTACTCAAAGGTGTGAATACCAGGAAGTGGGAAGTCATTGGGAACCATCCTGAAGCTGGCTACCATGTACCTCCATTGACTCATCTCTCTGCGTAAGCAAAACACTGCTGTGTGTTGCACTATGAGAAGGGGAGGGAGATCTATTTTTGTTATGCTTTGTGACGGAAGCCCTAACTTCGTATACAATTTCAGCAACATTAGTTCTTTTTATATTTACTCAAATAATCTGTCATTTCCTGAGACCTAGGCACGAGACTATGAGGGAGGCTGGCCTGGAGACAAATCCAAGAGGCAGATGCTATGCTAGTCAGACCCTCCCTTCCTTTGAACATGAGGATTTGTTTAAGCTCTGCTCCTCTGCCCAACTCCCTGTTCTCTTAGGGTGAGTTATTTCTTAGGAGTCCCCCTCAGCTTCTCATGTAAATCAGTAAACTCTTGGTGGGACTCCAGAACATCTTGGAGACATATCTGAGTCCCTAGCTAACACATCTAGCCTAGGCTTAGGCTGGGACATTACTAAAAGGTCAAGAATTGGGATAATGGGGTGTCTGGGTGGCTCAGTCATTAAGCGTCTGCCTTCAGCTCAGGTCATGATCCCAGGGTCCTGGGATCGAGCTCCGCATCGGGCTCCCTACTCAGCGGGAAGCCTGCTTCTCCCTCTCCCACTCCTCCTGCTTGTGTTCCCTCTCTCACTGTGTCTCTTTCTGTCAAATAAATAAATAACATTAAAAAAAAAAAAAAGAAGAATTGGGATAGTGTAAGGTGACCTAGGAATGAAAGAGAGGCAGAACTGTCCTGGAAATGTTCTACACAGACCCATGATGGGGCTCTGACAGGGGCTCTGGGTACCTGTGGGTACAGAAGCCATGACATCCACAGTTAGCCAATAAGAATCAACTCTGACAGCAGCAAAGGTCTGGATAAGATTCTCTGGGCTGCCCTATACCGATCCCCTGCACCTGTATCCATTCCTCGGGTCCTTGTTCCTTTGTGACCTCCTCCCCCAGACTTAAGGTTTCTGATTTCTTTCTCAGCTCAGCCATTTCTTTCTGGAATAATCCGAATGAATACACCTATTAATGACCCTGTGGCCCACTTTTGGTGCTGTTTTTCTGGATCTTGACCCAATTTCACTATGTACCATGATGAAACCTGATTACACTCTTGACCCAATTTTACTATGTACCATGATGAAACCTGATTACACTCTACCAGCACCTGTATGGCATAAAAAGGGGTAATTCTAGATGTTCTGAAGAAATCTCAAGTCAAAATTCACCCTCCTTGGAGAGATGAGCACTGTTCTCCTGAGACATGATACGGAATTTTCTGAGTAGCGCTGATGTGACTTAATTGGAAAGTATTCTGTCTAGCACGTGTGTATCAGGTGTGACGAAGAACCTGCTAGTCGTCATCAGAACAATCAGTCACTACCTGCTTTTACTGAGTCCCTTGGAAATGAATGAAGGAGTGAGTAGATGTCTGGGCCACCAAAACTATTTGGATTTTTAATACCGTAGCTAAGAGACTGAATAACCTGAAGGCATAGGAAGCATGTTCACCTCTATTTCTCTCATTTCCTTTCCTCTCCTGAAAGTAGGGCTTTCAACTAGAAGGAATCAGGGTTCTTTAGAGTTAGTGAAATAAAACAGGGTTTGTTGCCTGGGACATCGGTTCATGATAACAGAAGGATGACCTGGGTGTGGAGTGTCTGTCATAAAAACCAAGAAGAATGTGTACGAAGGAGACTTGCCTACCTGAAATATTTTGAATTAAAGGAGGGAAAAAAAAATCTCTGATAAAATGAAATAAGTGATAGGAATGAATGAAAAAATTATTGTCTTGAACCAGAAGTCCTCTTAAGAAAGGTATTGTTTTGGGGCACTGGGTGGCTCAGTCGGTTAAGTGTCCATCTTCGGCTCAGGTCATGATCTCGGGGTCCTGGGATTGAGCCCCATGTCGGGCTCTCTGCTCAGTGAGGAGTCTCCCTCTCCCTCTGTCCCTATCCCCCCGCTTGTGCTCATTTTCTCTCTCTCTCTCTCTCAAATAAATAAATAAAAAATCTTTAAAAAAAGAAAGGTATTGTTTTATTCAGGAAAATGCCTAGATAAGCAGTTTGGGATTGAAGGTATGACCCTATAGAGACAATATAGCCTGAGAGTCAAGGGGAAAAAAAAAGGACGAGCTAAAACTGTTAGTAACAAACAAAAATTGGTGACAAGTGGGAGAGAGCCGGGAAGAGAAGAGAAGGTAGAGAAGATGAGGTAAAGCATCATGGCAGGGCAGATGAAGGAGGGGTGCTCCATGATCATTCCAAATTTCTGCTGTGCTCATAAATGTCTTGTGTGAGTGCTGTCTTGTAGAAACCAAAGATAAGAACTTGGCTTTACTCCTTGGGTCAATGTGACATGGCAAGGGAAAGATGCAGACAAGAAGGCAGGATGATCCATAAACTGAATACACAAGACATGAACATAAGCTCAGAGCCAGCCTCTTAGGCAGAAGTAAGAGGAAGCAGAGGTGCAGACAGGGAAGCAGAGATGCTTAAGAGGCTGTGCTTCGACACACAGGGAAAGAAAGCAAATTTGATATGTAATAGGAAGAGGCAAATATGATTTCAGAGAGGACACCATCTGGTGAGATGGTACTTGTCTGGCAGTGAAAGGGTGCTACTGGCTTAAAAGAAATAGAAATTCGTTTTTAAATATTATATTTATTTATTGGAGAGAGAGAACAAGCAGAGGGGAGAGGCAGAGGGAGAGGGAGAAGCAGAAGGAGAAGGAGAAGCAGCGGGTACCCCGATGGGGGGCTTTATCCCAGGGATCTGGGATCATGACCTGAGCTGAAGGCAGATGCCCAACCGACTAAGCCACCCAGGCACCCCAAGAAATAGAAATTCTAATAAAGACAGGGAGGAGTGGCTCAGTATATGCAAGGAGTGGGAAAACAGATTAACTTGAGGGTGGTCAGAGTAGAAAATTTGGGTGATGAAATAATAAAAACGATAATGATTTCTGTTAACATTTGTTGTGTGTTTTTTTTTCTATTGGTAGGCACCATCAAAGCATTTTGCATGCAATGTCTCATTTAAGTTTCATTACAATCTTAAAAGGAAAAGCTATTATTTTTCCATATTATAGTTGGAAAAACCAATAATCAGAAAGATCAAGGAAGTTGTCCAAGGCCACCCACATAGAAAACGGAGGGAGAATCCAGACCTGAGAAGTCTGCAGAGTCTACACTCTTGTGGACATGTGAACCTGGACTAACAGACGGTACAGGTGTTTTAAAAAAGAATTCTGATTCCCTATCTAGTGCAGACACAAAGGCAAAGAAATCAGGAGGGCTACCAACTTACCAGTCATTTGCTGGGCATGCGGGTCTTAGTGTCCTAAGTGTCCAATGTCTGACAAAAGCCTTTTCACTCTGCAGAGCAAATAACATCATCTTTGAAAAGACTAAGGAGATAAGGAAGAAAACTGTCCCCTTGCATTTTGTGCACAGGGGGATGAACTTACTGATCTTATGAGTATTATTGAAACCTTGGGAGAAAGAGCTTACGTCATCATGGAGGCCGTGATAGTGAAGGAGGAGGGCGTTGGCCCCAGTTAAACATGTGCCCCAGACGTTGGGAGGGTAAACATATTAGTCAGAGCACTTTTCACTGGCAGTTGAAGGAAGAGAGTAAATTGGCCCTTGCAACTGGGAAGCTGCTGGCTCTAGTCAGGATCTCAAACAAGGCAATTAAGACTACTTTCTCTTTCTTACCTCATCCTTTAGTTCCCCCCCTCCCCCTACTTTTTTTTTTTCGGCATCTGTAGACAGGTGGGAAGGTAGCTGTCTATAAATTCAGATTTATATCTTCTTAGTTGAGCTACCCAGATGGAAAAGTGCCTTTTATCTTTCTCAATCTCTCTTTTTCAACCAAAGCAAGATCTCTAATTGGCCTTGCTGGGCCTCATGCCCACATCTGGATTAATCACGATTGCAAGGTGGATCCCATACTATGGCTGACCCAGCCGCGGTCACTCTTTCACCCAGTGATGGAGGTGGGGTTGGGTATGGTCTGTGGGGACCAGTTCCACAAAGGAAATAGGGTCCCTGGGACAACAGTAGTGATGTCCAACACAACACATTCTAAATGTTCACAGAAAAGCCTGGTCCAGTAGCCAATGATTTCATCAAGAAAGGAAGAATGTTCCTAGAAAAGCCATTATAGCACTGCAGTCAGAACTGATCCCAATGAGAAGAAAAGGCAACGGGGTGCGGGGAAATGACCAAAGCCATACTGAAGCCATGCAGGTTGCTCTATGGTGGGCTCTGGCTTTAAAAAGACACATGACCAACAGGACCCTGAGGATGAGTGCCAAAGAGTAGATGGGTCTGTGGGAAGAGTGACGGCAAGGCTAAGGTTCAGAATAAGTTCAGATTTAAAAAGGGAGACATTCAGCGGGGCTTGGCTGGCTCAGTGGGTTGAACGTCTGACTCTTGGTTTCTGCTCAGGTCAAGATCTCAGGGTCGTGAGATGGAGTCCCGCGTCGGGCTCCATGACCAGCGGGGGAGTCTGCTTGAGAGTCTCTCTCTCTTTGCCCCTTCCCCCACTCTCTCTCTCTCAAATAAATAAATCAATCTTAAAAAAATAATAAAGAGGGAGACATTCTAAGATCAATAAAAGGCCTTTGGACTCTGTTTGTAATAGGCAAAAAAGGGCAAGTGTAGACCCATTGTTTGGGCAAAAGGAAATAATCTTATATAAAAAAGCAAAGTATAATGGAAGTTGAAAATATAATTTTTCTATCAAGGGTATCAAATCAGAAAGGGCAGAACAAACACTATATAGAGATTTGAAGCCCATGGAGAGAAGGTGATAATCGGTTCAATGGTCACTTCCTCCCACCTTGCTGGCAGATGGATGATTCTTTAAGTATGGGTATCCCCCCACCATGTCTGAGGGGAAATTCTGAGTAGTCTAAACAATCCCTGTGGTTCCATTCCCCTCATCACTGATTGGCTTAATGACAGGCAAGAGACTTAATTCTGACCAATGAGAGGTGAGGACTGGTCTGTCAGGGTTTCTGAAAATGTGTCCTTGCTTCTGAAAAGAGATATGGAATGAACAGTCCTTCTTTCACTGCTGGGCATTGTTGTGTTTGCGTAGGCTCATTGGAAATGCAAAAACCACCTTGTGACCATGAGGGAATTAAATGGACACCCTGACGATGGCCGAGTAGGTTAGAGAGGTATCCTTGAAGACGAAATCGAACTACTGGAGTAACCAATCCTGAAGGCCCTCTACTTAGCCCTTCTCATTTTATGAGATAATCAAATTTTCCTTATTGGTTAAGCCAGTAAAACCTGGGTTTTCTGTTCCTGCCACCCAAGGCATCCTGACTGGTTCAGAGCTCAAGAAAGATGAGAAGATTAGATAGGAAGGGGACAAGGAGCTGATTCAAGTGGGTCTAAGTATCTGACCCAGTGACTCACATCCCGAGGTGTGGAAAGAACTTTCCGGTGGGGGTAGGGGGGGCCACTGTCAATAACTTTTAAGTAATTTTGTGGAGAATAGAAGGTGGTGCCAGGATCAGGAACTGGGCAGAGATTATCCTGATTTTTATAAAGGGGAAGAAAGATTGTTTCTGGACACTCTAGACAAATAAGTTTGAGGTAGATCCTTGACAACAGGGAAGCAGGACGGATTAAGAAGCAGATGGTGGGTGAGCATTTAGGAAGGAATGCCGTGGTCAGTTAAAAGCAAAATGACTTCACTGAGTACAAGTTATTCCAAACTAACCTCATTTCCTCTTGATAAGGTTACTATGTTTGTGAATCAGGTGTATGCCATAAACATTGCAGGTCTTGATTTCAGCTTAGGGTTAACAGTTCCTCTCATGGTTTCCTTGTGGCTAACATGGTGACATGTGGGTTGGATGAGAGTCGAGGTTTTATGTATTTGCAGCTGGCTCAACAGCTGAATCCAAAGAGTGTTGAGTATTGGATGGATGTCACAGCCCATGTGCTAAATTCAGTTGGGGTGGTAGGGAGAGAAGTCGCACATTGGCCTGAGCTTGTCTGGGAGTGGAAGTCTGACACTCTGGGTGCAAGAGCCCCGGGAAGAGCAAGACAAGTGCCAGCAAAGCCTGAGCCTGTTGCCCAGGGACCGTGGGTGAAGCTGAGAGGATCAGGTGGATACTGGATGGGGCAGAAATGAAAAGAAGGGTCATCAGGAAAACCTAGAGAGGGGGATGTATATAAAGAGACTGGTTTCAGGAGGGAGGAATGAGAAGGCAGAGGCAGGTGGGGAGGCTGAGGGAGAGTAGGCAGTCCTGTGGGTTCACATGTATAGACCTCTGCTCCATGCTCCATGTCCTCGTTCTTGGAGGGGCCCTGTGCAACTCATGACAATGGATGTCAACCTCCAGAGAGGTTCCTTGTGGAGTGCCAAGGGCTCTATCCTTGATCCTGTCTGATTTATCACTCGATGAAAACTCAGGAGGTATACTGATCAAAGGTGTAGATGTCACAAATCCGAGAGGGAGAGTTAATACCAGAGGTGACAGAATGAGGACCTGGAGTGATCCTGACAGGTTGGAATGCTGGGTCAAAAACAATAAGATACAATTTAACAGGCCTAAATGTAAAGTCTGGAATTTATGTGCAAAAAACAAATGGCAAAAACATAGAGTGGGGAAGATTGCCTTGGCAGGAAGTCTTGTGAAAACTATCTGAGGCTTTTAAATGACCACCAGCTCAGAATAAGCCAACAGTGTGATGTGATTGTTAACAATCCAACACAATGTTGAGCTACAAGAATGAATAGAAATCCAGTACTCTTGGGAAGGAGTGGTCTCATTATATTCTTGGTCAGATGACACCTGGGGTGTCATGTTCACTTTTGGGCACGAGATTCTGAGAAGGGCATTGACAAATTAGAGTGTACTCAAAGATGGGATAAGACGGCGAAAGTTCCAGAAATTATTTGATGTGAGGAGAGGTTGAAGGATCAGAGAACATTCTGCCTAGAGAAGCAAAAACACAGGATCTGTGTCACTGAGGAAGAATTTGGTCCATTCTCTGAGGTAGGACAAAAACTAAGGAGTGGAAGATAATGGGGAAACCCATTTACATTCAGATAAAGAGACCTTTCCCAATTATTATAATCAAGAGAAATAATGACCGTGGTATAACACAAGTTTCAAAAACATGAGCTCATTGGTGAGGTGAGCGATTGTTTCATAGACAAGGTCACTGTTTGAAATGATCAAGGAATTGTATACTAATCTATCCCCAGTGCCTAGAATGTTCCCCTGGTAAATATTTGTTGAATGAGTGAGATCGTAGAGAGGTCGAATGTCTTTCCTGAAGACACACAGATGGATTCTTGACTCCATGACATGCCTCACAGCACCTCGCAGAAGCCACGGGCTGCCTTGGGAAGTCGAGGTGTTCTTGTCATCAGAGACCACCTGAACGCTGGCTGGCATGCATTAGAGGGCTTTCTGGCGAGGGGCGACAAGGGTGGGGGGAGGGCAGAGGACCTCAAAACCCCTTCCAATTCAGAGGTTTCATGCAGAATATTCCTAATTCAAAGAACACTAACTTTCTGCTGGAGAACACATGCAAGGCGTGGACTCTGTCTCCACACAACCCCAGCCAGCCCGCGGTCGATCCTATCTTCCCCTGGAAACCTTTTAGCTGCTCTCCCTATAGATCCCTATCTTGGGCGGGTATATCCAGTGCTTCTATATCCAGACACCCAGGGTAAAATGTACATATACAAAGGCTGAGGGAAGATGGAATTTCAGCTCACTGAACTGCCCGAGGTATGCTTTCGATTTCTGATTTTGCTGCCAACCTCTCTAAAAAGTGTGAGAGTCTTCTTTGCTCCTTCAGTAAGGGAGGAGAGAGTCCTTGCCTGCAGAATGAGAATTTGCAGGAATGGAGGCCCGTGATCAACCTTAGGTGAATCCAAATAGGTGCTCTTTCTATATGGACCCCCAGGATGGACCAAGGGAAGTGTTTAATCCTCTTCATTTCTGTATAAATTATGATACGCCTGGAAAGTCCTCACCATCTTCAATGGCGATGGGGGTTAGGTGATTGGGTTGAGGGCGATGAAATCGACAATATCCGCTGACGCTTGCGTTCAGTTCTCTCTCCTCCGAGAAAGGTGCAGAAGGAGCCTGCGGTGAGCGGGGGCTCCCGGGCCACCACCTGGGACTGGACCCGCGCAGGCTTGGCTGCCTGTCTTCCAGCCTTTTGTGCTAGTAAGTGGTGTCCACCGTCTCCACTAGGTGGAGAAAAAGAGCGGTTGCAAAATGTACAAAGCCGCAAATCAAAAACACAGCCCAAAGAGTAAAATCCAATTCTAAATGGAACTCGAAAACTTGAGAAGTAATTTAAGGGAACCACATTAAATACTAGAATGTTTAATGGGGCCCATGTGTCCTGAGCAGAGAAAGAGAGTGCGAGAAATGGAACAGAGGAAATCAGGGAGACAATATGTCTGTGCAACTTGTTC